GCTGCGCATTGGTCCACTCCCTTCGACGATCGTGACAGGTCTGTTCCTGATCCCCGCACCAAGGAAATGGTGCGCGTCGCCAGGCCGGCCCGGCCTGTTCCTGCTCCTCGCACCAAGCCTACGGTGCGCGTCGCCAGCCCGGCCTGTTCCTGCCCCTCGCACCAAGCCTTCGGTGCGCGTCGCCAGCCCGGCCCGGACTGTTCCTGCTCCACGCACCAAGCCAGGGGTGCGAGTCGTCAGCCCGGTCCGGCCCGTTCCTGCTCCACGCACCAAGCCAGGGGTGCGAGTCGTCAGCCCGGTCCGGCCCGTTCCTGCTCCACGCACCAAGCCAGGGATGTGCGTCGTCAGCCCGGTCCGGCCCGTTCCTGCTCCACGCACCAAGCCAGGGGTGCGAGTCGTCAGTCCGGCACAACCCGTGCCTGGGTCACCGGTGCCTGGTCAGGTACCGGTCAGCTGCTCCACACCGGAGCTGAAGCAATCTGCTCCTACAATGTCCAGTCCAGCTCCAGCCAGCGGGGCCAGACCGGACCAGGGGCGCTACGGGGGGATTATTGGAAGGTGGTGGGCAAGCCCGGAGCCGGAACCGCCTCCGAGGAGGAATGCCCACCCAGCCCTCCCCTGTTTGGTTTATGTGGAGGCGCAGTCGCAGTCCGCGCCTTTGGGGGGGGGTACTGTCACACCCTGGCTCTGGGGACTCTATATGTTGAGCCAGGGTGTGTAGTTTCTATGTGTTTTGTTCTATGTTCACAGTCTAGTTCTTGTATTTCTATGTTGGCCAGTGTGGTTCCCAATCAGAGGCAACGAGTGTCAGCTGTTGCTGGTTGTCTCTGATTGGGAGCCATATTTAAACAGTCTGTTTTCCTTTAGTGTTTGTGGGATCTTGTTCCTTTCGGTGTGTTCTGTGTTTGTTGTGTTTAACATAGGACGTCACGTTATCGTTTGTTGTTTTGTTGTTCGTGCATTCATTAAATAAAAGAAGTATGTTCGTTCATCACGCTGCGCCTTGGTCTACTCTCTTCGACGATCGTGACATCTCCCCTTGTATCAAAGTGACTCTGAACTCCTCACTGCACAACCCAAACACACCATATGAGTATTCCCTTTGTAGAAATTCAGTATTTATTATAGGTGTTAGTAGTATATTTTATATGTAACCGGTGTGAAATGGCTAGCTAGTTAGCGGTGCGCACTAGTAGCATTTCAATCGGTGACGTCACTTGAAGTAGTTGAGACCTTGAAGTAGTTGTTTCCCTTGCTCTGCAAGCGCGGCTTTTGTGGAGCGACGGGTAACAGTGCTTTGAGGGTGACTGTTGTGATGTGTGCAGAGGGTCCCTGGTTCGAGCCCAGGTAGGAGGAGGAGAGGGACGGAAGCAAAACTGTTACACATACACTGAACAAAAATATAAATGCAACAATTTCAACGATTTTACTGAGTTACAGTTCTTATAATGAAATCAGTCAATTGAAATAAATTCATTAGGCCCTAATGATGGATTTCACATGACTGGGCAGGGGCAGAGTCATGGGTGGGCCTGGGAGAGCATAGGCCCACCCACTGGGGAGCCAGGCCCAGCCAATCAGAATTAGTTTTTCCCCACAAAAGGGCTTTATTACAGACAGAAATACCGGGTGGCTGGTCTCAGACTATCCCGCAGGTGAAGAAGCCGGAGGTGGAGGTCCTGGGCTGGTGTAGTTACACGTGGTCTGCAGTTGTGAGGCCGGTTGGACGTACTGCCAAGTTCTCTAAAACGACATTGGAGGTGGCTTATGGTAGAGAAATGAACATTCAATTATCTGGCAAAAGCTCTGGTGGACATTCCTGCAGTCAGCATGCCAATTGCACACTCCCTCAACTTGAGACATCTGTGGCATTGTGTTGTGTGACAAAACTGCACATTTTAGAGTGGCCTTTTGTTGTCCCCAGCACAAGGTGCACCTGTGTAATGATCATGCTGTTTAATCAGCTTCTTGATATGCCACACCTGTCAGGTGGATGATTGTCTTGGCAAAGGAGAAATGCTCACTAACAGGGATGTAAACAAATTTGTGCACAAAATTTGAGAGAAACAAGCTTTTTGTGCGTATGGAACATTTCTGCAATCTTTTATTTCAGCTCATGAAACATGGGACCAACACTTTACATGTTGCGTTTATATTTTTGTTTAGTATACAGTGGGGGAAAAAAGTATTTAGTCAGCCACCAATTGTGCAAGGCCTGTAATTTTCATCATAGGTACACGTCTTGAATACAAGCCATGTCTACTTTTAATATGCCATTTAGCAGACGCTTTTATCCAAAGCGACTTACAGTCATGTGTGCATACATTTTTACATATGGGTGGTCCCGGGGATCGAACCCACTACCCTGGCGTTACAAGCGCCGTGCTCTACCAATTGAGCTACATTGAGCTACAGAGGACTACTTGTTTGCTATATTGACAGACTACTGTTTTATTGAAACATGTTTACTTGCCAACAAATTAAAGTTTATATGATAAACCAAATCCCTCCATCCTTTGTTTGAGCAGTAAGATTGTACCTAGTTACTTCGAATACATTTCATGAATATCCGAATGAATTGATCCAGAAGTTGAAGTCAATACTTTATTGGTTTCTGATGCACCTGGAATCATTGAGTCACTTGTCAGTACATTTGTAAAAAAAAATATATATATATAAAACATTATCAAACACCATTATATATATATGTACAACAGCTAGAAATATCTATACCACAATCCAGTTGTGAGCATACTAGGCATTATATATTATAATACAGCATCAGTCTAACTGTTGTGTTGGCTGAATGTTCCAGGAAGGATCCTGAACGTTCTGGTGAACCTCAGCTTGTGGGCCAATTGCAGCTGGTCTGGCAGAACTCCATGACCTTGGACTCAGACTATACACTGTGGCTCTTGCCAGCCCCGTGCGGTCTTTTCCTCTTCAGACTCAGATGATGTTGATCTTGTTCCAGGCTGAAAGCTTTCATCCAATGGGTCTACAGCAGGGTTCTTCAATTCCGGTCCTGGAGGGCCGAAACACCTCTGTGTTTTTCATCCTCTCCTTCTAATCAGGGGCTAATTCAGACCTGGGACACCAGGTGAGTGCAATTAACTACCAGGTAGAAATAAAAACACAGAAGTGTTTCGGCCCTCCAGGACCGGAATGGAAGAACCCTGGTCTACAGGATCTGTACTACTGGTGTCAAGGTCATCGTCATCATCAGCAGCAGGATTAGTCTGTAGTGATTAGACTACATCAATACCCACCCCCAACAGACACCACTTAGGTCACCCACACCATCCCCTCCTTACTAATAACTCAGCTTTTCTCCGATTTGACTTCAAGCTTTGCATAAACGATCAACTAAGCGTCCATAATACAGAGAGAACTACAATAGAAGTTGTAGCCTACTTATAAACACACCAACTATGACAAAAACACGGACAATGTTTATGCATACCCCATTCATAGAAACGAACTGCTTTAGCGCCTATGGACGATAGTGTCTTCTGACCGGGGGGGAGTTTTGTTAAATGCCCCGACGCTTGCTGTAAACATTAACACGCATCGCTTGCAGTACTGTTTTGGAAACATAAGGAACGTATCTTTCATATCTGCGAGAAATCATTTTCAAAAAAACAAAAGGTTAAATTACTACACACCGTTTTATAGGGTTAGAGTTAGCGTTTACACACGGCCAACTGTTACAGAACTTGTTTCCGGAAAACGGATGGAAGACGCGACCACCTGTGATCTAATTAGCTATCTAGCATTTGCTGAACACCTGTGTGTAAGTGTAACTCGGGAAGTGTTACTGGCTAATTTACATTTTATTTTGCTTTGTAATGTCTAGCCAGGGGATTATGAAGGCTAGCTAGATATTGATTTAGATAAACAAATGTAGTTCGCTATATAAGTTAGCTACGTTGTGCGTTACCTCTGCTCAGCTTCTTAGTAAGGTAACCAATGAAATGTTACCCCAGCAGCCTGTGCTTGCTTGTAGTTTGCCCATCCAGGTACTGAGCATTACACCATGACTAAACTTAACAGTTGTTGTCTACACAAAAATAAATGGTTCTTCGCAAGCTGATTTTTCTATGAATGAGTTGCTGGTCCAGTTAGCTACCTGCTGACAACCATTCTCAAATGGATCCACCTCGACAGGGGGTGTACTACATCCTGAAATCGCTATGCATTCTGGATATTTTTGATATGCTTACAACCAGGAAATGTAGATGGCCTGTTTCTACTGCTGAGATGCAGAAGCTGTCGTATTTGTGTGTAGTGAGGAAATTCAAGATTTTTTTTTTTTACACATTATATGTTAATAACATTAATGGACATGTACAGTGAAAGAGCATCTGTGAAATGTGTCTTTAACCCCACTGCTAACCTTATGCCAAACTTTAAATTAAGACTAGAAAGCACATTTTTGTAGGCAATTTTGACTGTGGCAGTGGAATTTATTTGGGAACTCAACTTACCGTTGAGAGTTAGAATAGTAGAATTCACAAGGTGCAGTTTCGAAATTTGGTTGTTGCCTCAGCAGTTTCTGTTATGTCAGTCAATTAGCCATGTCAGCTGAATTTTTTTAGATTGCTAAATTAGTTTACGGCCAGCTATCTAAACTAATTATCATGGTCGAATTACCGGCAGGGGGGGCCCCCCATTGATTTTGTTAGTCTCACTCAGATATCATATTAAAACTTTAATGATGATTTCAAATTTTTTTGTGGCCCCCACCCCCATTAAAGATGCCCATCACTGAACTATAGTAATGTGGAACTAAAATCCACAAGCTTGATACAGTCTTTTTATTATGTGACCTGGCCGCAGTCTCTTCGTGTCCAAATTATAAACTGTGCACGTTATTAGAGTCAGACGAGTGAGAGGCCAGAGAGAGAAAGTTGGGCCAGTGTGTGTGGCCATTTATACCCAAAGATTTCAGTTTGTTTTGAACTTTTGACTGCTAATAAACTTGAACTTGACAAACGCTGATGCTCTCTCTCCAGTTTAGTTTCGGGGGTCTCTGTATGCTGTATGGAACGGTGAACCACAACTTGCCGTCGCACTCCATATTGGTCCAGACCTCCAGCGCCCCCTCTCTCTGTTACTTTGTCTTTTCTATCTCAGTGTGTGTAGCAGTCTTTAGTTTCTTTATATCACTGTACTGGATATGTGCATGCTTCCAGACTCAAGACTGTAACAGGTGAGTGTGTATGGGGGAGGGGGGTTTGTGTGTGTCAGGGGGGATTGCGTGTATGTGTATGGAGGGGGGACGGGGTTGTGTGTGTGTGTGTCTACATACGTTATTTTACATGACTCAATGATAGGTGTGACACAACTTATTGTATGTCCTATGAGACTTTCTGTGGGGGTGCATGTCATGCCGAGACGTTGTAAGATCAGCAATGTAACTTAACCTCATGACATATGACTGAATCTGACCGTGTGTGTGTGTGTGTCATGCCAATATGTTTACATTTTGAAACCATTCTATGCATAATGCAACATTTTGCGATGTCTATCTAACCTGTGTGTGTGTTTCCAGAACACGTCTGGGGCTGAACGTGACCCTGGTGTTGTGTGGCGTGTTCCTCTTCTTCCTCCTGGTGACGGGGTGTGTGTTGAAGATGGGAAGAGACTCTCTGTGTGACTCTGTCCTACACACTGTCCCCAACATCACCAGGTACGATACACATCTAGCTAAACTTCGGCAGTAGCTTTTCTTCATATCAAATGTGTGATTACTCCTACCGATACGAGTAGAGTCAAATCCCAAAATAAATCAAATCTGTTATTTCTCAACTTTACTGTGAAACTTAATACAAGCCTTTTCCCAACAATGCAGAGTTAAAAAGTAAGAAAAATAGAAAATAGTAACACAATACAATAACGAGGCTATATACAAGGAGTAGCATTACTGAGTCAATGTGCAGGGGTACCAGGTATTATAACACAATAAAACAGTAATGAGGCTATATACAAGGAGTAGCATTACTGAGTCAATGTGCAGGGGTACCAGGTAGTAATGAGGCTATATACAAGGAGTAGCAGTACTGAGTCAATGTGCAGGGGTACCAGGTAGTAATGAGGCTATATACAAGGAGTAGCATTACTGAGTCAATGTGCAGGGGTACCAGGTAGTAATGAGGCTATATACAAGGAGTAGCAGTACTGAGTCATGTGCAGGGGTACCAGGTAGTAATGAGGCTATATACAAGGAGTAGCAGTACTGAGTCAATGTGCAGGGGTACCAGGTAGTAATGAGGCTATATACAAGGAGTAGCAGTACTGAGTCAATGTGCAGGGGTACCAGGTAGTAATGAGGCTATATACCAGGTAGTATATGAAACTTAATACAAGCCTTTTCCCAACAATGCAGAGTTAAAAAGTAAGAAAAATAGAAAATAGTAACACAATACAATAACGAGGCTATATACAAGGAGTAGCATTACTGAGTCAATGTGCAGGGGTACCAGGTAGTAATGAGGCTATATACAAGGAGTAGCAGTACTGAGTCAATGTGCAGGGGTACCAGGTAGTAATGAGGCTATATACAAGGAGTAGCAGTACTGAGTCAATGTGCAGGGGTACCAGGTAGTAATGAGGCTATATACAAGGAGTAGCAGTACTGAGTCAATGTGCAGGGGTACCAGGTAGTAATGAGGCTATATACAAGGGGTAGCAGTACTGAGTCAATGTGCAGGGGTACCAGGTAGTAATGAGGCTATATACAAGGAGTAGCAGTACTGAGTCAATGTGCAGGGGTACCAGGTAGTAATGAGGCTATATACAAGGAGTAGCAGTACTGAGTCAATGTGCAGGGGTACCAGGTAGTAATGAGGCTATATACAAGGAGTAGTAGTACTGAGTCAATGTGCAGGGGTACCAGGTAGTAATGAGGCTATATACAAGGAGTAGTAGTACTGAGTCAATGTGCAGCGGTACCAGGTAGTAATGAGGCTATATACAAGGAGTACCAGTACTGAGTCAATGTGCAGGGGTACCAGGTAGTAATGAGGCTATATACAAGGAGTAGCAGTACTGAGTCAATGTGCAGGGGTACCAGGTAGTAATGAGGCTATATACAAGGAGTAGCAGTACTGAGTCAATGTGCAGGGGTACCAGGTAGTAATGAGGCTATATACAAGGAGTACCAGTACTGAGTCAATGTGCAGGGGTACCAGGTAGTAATGAGGCTATATACAAGGGGTAGCAGTACTGAGTCAATGTGCAGGGGTACCAGGTAGTAATGAGGCTATATACAAGGGGTAGCAGTACTGAGTCAATGTGCAGGGGTACCAGGTAGTAATGAGGTAATATAGACTCCTCTTTTCTTTAGATGTCATGTTTTCTGAATTGTGTGGCCAGTAGTTTGTAAATCTAGATGTTTGTAAACATTCCTATAGAAAATGAATGAATTCCTGATTTCCTCCCTCCATCCATCTAGATGTGAAGAGGCTCAGTCTAGGACCTGGATCAGTCCTTACACTGGAACACAGTTCTACACTGGACTATACAGGGCTGGGGTCAGTATTAACACACAGACAGTTCTACACTGGACTATACAGGGCTGGGGTCAGTATTAAAACACAGACAGTTCTACACTGGACTATTAAGGGCTGGGGTCAGTATTAACACACAGACAGTTCTACACTGGACTATACAGGGCTGGGGTCAGTATTAAAACACAGACAGTTCTACACTGGACTATTAAGGGCTGGGGTCAGTATTAAAACACAGACAGTTCTACACTGGACTATACAGGGCTGGGGTCAGTATTAACACACAGACAGTTCTACACTGGACTATACAGGGCTGAGGTCAGTATTAACACACAGACAGTTCTACACTGGACTATACAGGGCTGAGGTCAGTATTAACACACAGACAGTTCTACACTGGACTATACAGGGCTGAGGTCAGTATTAACACACAGACAGTTCTACACTGGACTATACAACGCTGAGGTCAGTATTAACACACAGACAGTTCTACACTGGACTATACAGGGCTGAGGTCAGTATTAACACACAGACAGTTCTACACTGGACTATACAGGGCTGGGGTCAGTATTAACACACAGACAGTTCTACACTGGACTATACAGGGCTGAGGTCAGTATTAACACACAGACAGTTCTACACACAGACAGTTCTACACTGGACTATACAGGGCTGAGGTCAGTATTAACACACAGACAGTTCTACACTGGACTATACAGGGCTGAGGTCAGTATTAACAGAAAGTTATCGGACGTCAGGTCTCATTAACAGGGACTATTATTTACTTATACTCTCCTTCTTCTTCTCTCCCTACTTCCTCTTCTTCTTCTCTCCCTCCTTCCTCTTCTTCTTCTCTCCCTCCTTCCTCCTATTCTTCTCTCCCTCCTTCCTCCTATTCTTCTCTCCCTCCTTCCTCCTATTCTTCTCTCCCTCCTTCCTCTTCTTCTTCTCTCCCTCCCTCCGTCCTCTTCTTCTTCTCTCCCTCCTTCTTCTTCTCTCCCTCCTTCCACTTCTTCTTCTCTCCCTCATTCCTCTCCTTCTCTCAACAGACGGCGGTGTGGGTGAACTTATTTTTATGGATTCTGATTGGCATGCTGGTGGTGATCCAGAGCGGTTACGGGTCAGATTTCGGAATGATGGCGGGCGACACTATAGCCACGTCCTCTGAGACAGAACCTTTTTTCTAACACCTGGCCAGCAGTGACTCATAACCGTCTCACCGTACGATCTGTTGGCGAGACACACACCACAGAGACACGCGCTCAAACACACACAAAGGCAGACACACACATGGGGACACACACACACACACACACATACTCCTCACTGTCTGACCTGTTAGAGAATGAATGAACCTTAGCCTGTATGTGTGTTTCCAGGGAGAGTGTGTGTTTCCAGAGAGAGAGAGTGTTATGATGAGTTTCTGGTATTGAGAAGTTCAAGATGCAAGAATTTACTTAGACATTCTGTGGAGATTTAATTTTTTATTGGATCACGAACGCCCGTGTGTTCATCTAACAAACGGACATAGCTCTGCTCTTTGTCACTTGAACTGCCCACACACACAAATCTCACAGCTTTTATACTCTTGGTTATCCTTCCTTTCACATACCTCTGGCCATCGTCAATGAGCACTCCCATTCTTTTATGTTATTACTCTTTACCCCAAGTCATATATCCTGTCCGTCCATCATGCTATCCTAAACATCAGTAATCTCCTTTGACATAAGGAATGTAGACTCAGTGGACCCAAGTCAATTATCCCCTAACTCTTCCCTGGTCCACACAATACTATGACATGACATCATTACAGAGAGAGAGAGAGAGAGAGTCCTCTCACACACAGTCACACTTCTACAACTGTTCCTGGGGTCGGTGTATATGTGTACTTCAGTTTGAGTACTGCAGCCCAGTGAAGCACAGATGGTCTACCTATCTCTCTCTGCACTGGAATAAAGGATATTACACATATGGTAACATGTAGTGTCACTGTAGCTTTCACCTTGTTTTGAAACAGTTTCACTGAGAACAAGTCATTTACCTTTTGCTAAAAGCTGTTATTATACGTTTCTCTGTGGTCCCTCCATCCGCAGTATTTTCTCTTTCTGTATTTAGGGAGAGAGGTGTGTGTGTGTGTGTAGAGAAGTGTGTGACTGGCTGACAGGAACATCAATTGTCTCAGATAATATCTGTGTGTGTGTGTCCCATTCAGGACCACAGCCCAAACCAAGGCTACTGCACCACAGTCAGCATTCAGCAATGTCACACTGTCCTACGCAAACACACACTTTAAAATGCCTTCCTGACTACTAAGAAACTAAGCAACCGTTTTCTTACTGCATTCCCTTTCTGCCTGCAATTATTTGTACTTTTTTATTTTATGAATATTGAAAAGCAAAAATTTGTATTTTGATTTGAATGAATTATTGTTTCTCTTTTTACAGAATTTTATAAAACAGTTATCGACCAATAAAGATGCATTTGTGTGTCAGTCTTTCCTTTTCGTTCTATAGAATGTTACTGCATGGGTTGGGCAACAGTACTGCTGTAGAGTTCAAGGGGGTGCAGGCTTTTGTTCCAGCACTGCACTAATACACACACCAGGAGTTTGACTGGACAGATTGGGAACCATACTGTGTAGACAGCTGCGGAGGGAGAGAGGGAGGGGGAGAGAGACGTGATAGAACCAGAGCAGAAAGGAGAGAGCACAGATGGAAGACAGGATCCAGAGATGCCAGTTTGACTAACTGGCTAATCTCTACGAAATGACAGATAGGCTACTGTAGGCCAGCCAGATGTCCTCCTAGTGTTTCTTTTCAACGCTAGACTACTGTAGGCCAGCCAGATGTCCTCCTAGTGTTTATTTTCAACGCTAGACTACTGTAGGCCAGCCAGATGTCTCTGGCTGTGTTCGAATACCCATACTGTATACTACATACTATAAATTCATTTTAGTATACTGTAAACGAACGGTATCGTTTCAGTTGAGCGTACTAGCTAAGCCTGTCTACCGGAAGTTGATGCTGTTGCTATGCAACCTCTTGCTAGCTTGTTAGCATAACAAATGACTAGCTAGACGTTTTACGAGTTCGGGTGTGTTCGTAAATTCAATCTGGAGCGCCAGCTGAGCGCTCGTAAATCCAGCGCGTTGTCAGATTGTCCGTTCGTAAATTCAGAGCGCACACTGGCACTGGACGCTCTGGCCGAGGAGTAGGGTTGATCCGAGCGTTCAACGGCAGTCAATCACCCAAGCTAACTGGATAACGTTGGCTAGCTACTTCCAGACACAAATGAGAGAACACCTCACTCTGACCATTTTACTCGCCCTAGCAGAGCTGGTTAGGCTGTTTTCATGTTATCCAGAGCTTTGGTGACTGTAACTGTGCTGGCAGGAACGTTTACGTTTACTGACACCGGCCATATTCAACGGGTGTTGAGCGTTCGTAAATTCATCAGTTATTCTGCGCGAAAAGTGCTCTGAAATCGGACTAGATAGCCAGAATTAACAATGTCCATTGAAACGCACAACGACTATACCACTTAGCTAAGAATGATGTGAATAATCGAGTCAATAAACGTTGGGTAGTTAGTTAGATAGCAGATAGTTAATCTACTGTCTGGCAAGTTCGATGTATTAGTAGCCAACTAACGTTAGGTAACTAGCTAACATACCGCTGTAGCATGATATGCTGTTCGTAAGGATAGCGTAGCTAACAAATTGTCAGCCAATATAACGTGTAACGTAACTTATTTGAAAAGTAATTACTTTATTTCATTGCTCAACATGTTCTTCTTCAGTGGGGTTTATCATCGGTTGGCATCCAACGTTATGGCGCATTACCGCCACCTACTGTACTGGAGTGTGGGCCAGAGAATCCTACCTGCCAGCTCCGTTGCTCTAAAAAAGATAACAAAATATTTGAGATGATATCTAATGACGTTCTACTCAATATACTCTTTAAACCAATTTCCTGTATCCCCTTCTCCCTCATACTAGATCTCATCCCCTCTCTTTCCCTCTGATACTGCCCAACCTGTAGCAATACATGCTCCACGGTCTCTGTTTCCTGACAATAATCACACTTTCCTTATGGATGCTTTCCTATCACATTTAATGTCTTATTCAACTGGCTGTCTCCCACCCTTAATCTTGTAAAAATAGCCTCCTCTCTTCTGTCCCTTCCTCCCCTCCCTGACTTTCCTCTGTACTTGAAGTAAATGCCTTCCCTTTTACATTTTTAGTCATTTAGCAGACGCTCTTATCCAGAGCGACTTACAGTTAGTGCATACATTATTTTATCGAACCCACAACCCTGGTGTTGAAAACGCCATGCTCTACCAACTGAGCTACATCCCTGCCGGCCATTCCCTCCCCTACCCTGGATGACGCTGGGCCAATTGTGCGCCGCCCCATGGGTCTCCCGGTCGCGGCCGGCTACGACAGAGCCTGGATTCGAACCAGGATCTCTAGTGGCACAGCTAACACTGCGATGCAGTGCCTTAGACCACTGCGCCACTCGTGAGTTCCCTTATTATATCTATTCCACTGCTCCTGCCATCTCTGCACCATCACTGTATATATCTGTCTTTTTGCCTCTGCCTTGCTCATTGAAACTTCAACATCCCCACTACTAAGTGCTTGTTTAGCCTGTTCATCTACTGCCTCGTTCCCCTCCACTACCACATGGGCTGGGACCCAAGTAAATCTTATCTGAATACCCATCTGTTTAATCCTGCCATGGGTTTGTAGCACCTCATAAAGCAGGTCATGGTTCGGGCTAGGCCCCTTAGTTCCAGTGAAGGGAAATCTTAACGCTACGATTTTGTGCTTCCAACTTTGTGGCAACAGTTTGGGGAAGGCCCTTTTCTGTTTCAGCATGACAATGCCCCCGTGCACAAAGCGAGGTCCATACATAAATGGTTTGTCGAGGTCGCTGTGGAAGAACTTGACTGGCCTGCACAGAGCGCTGACCTAACCCCATCGAACACCTTTGGGATGAATTCGAACACAGACTGCTAGCCAGGCCTAATCGCCCAACATCAGTGCCCGACATCACTAATGGCTCTTGTGGCTGAATGGAAGCAAGTCCCCGCAGCAATGTTCCAACATCTAGTGGAAAGCCTTCCCAGAAGAGTGGGGGCTGTTATAGCAGCGAAGGGGGGGACCAACTCCATATTAATGCCCATGATTTTGGAATGAGATGTTGTCCACATACTTTTGGTCATGTAGTGTACCATGATGGGAGATAAATAGGGTTAGGGTTAGAGAACAGGAGACAGTGTATGTTGTTAAAATAATTATTTATTTAACTGCAAAGTCTTATTTCCATATCAGAAGTGTGTGTGTTCACCCCGGGCCTCCATCGCAGCCTTGGTATCCAGCTGTTCTTCTCTTCTCTCTCTCCTTCTCTCTCTCCCTTTCCTCGCCCTCCATCCCGGTCCACCCTTTCCTTTCTCTCCCCCCTTCCTTCTCTTTCATTTAGAGTGTCTTGCTGAGTTTGCGGTGCATTCTATCACTGGCCTCCATCTGAGCCTTGGTATCCAGCAGTTCTTCTAGCTGTCTTCTCATCCGGGCCATATCCAGCTGGGTGGCTTGACACTGTTAAATCAATCAATCAATCAATAAACAAACCAACCAATCATCTATCAGTCAGTCGATCAGTTTGTAAATCTGTCTACCTATCTAAATATCTATCCTTCCATCCATCCACAAATCAATCAACACCTCACCTGTTCTCTCAAGCACGCCGACTCCTCCCTCAGTGCCGCGGCGGCCATAGCTAGCTGCTCACTACGCTCCCGACACTGGGACTGCATCTTAACTGCGTCGGTTAAAAGGGACTCGACGCTCACCGCTACGGATTCACACTGGTCCTTAGACATGATCTGAAGAGAGAAAGATGGAGGGATGAGAGAGGGAAGGATGGAGGGGAGGCATTTAGAGACTGGTCCTTTGACATGGTGATGACGATGGTGATGGTTGGTCTATATATGTGGAGAGAGGGAAGGAGGTGAGGCATTTAGACACACACACACACTGGACACACACACACCACACAGATTCACAAAACACTTCTTATGCAAAAACTTAAGAAGCTTCTTAAGATAGTTCCTAAGTGCAATTCCTCAAAAACATCTTAAGATTTCATAATTTTCCTACAAACTCTCAAATATCTTCTTACAAACTTCTTAACTATCTATGCACTTAAGATGATTGCTGCCAGGCAACCGATCTAGCTAGCTCTGTAGCTAGCAATGGCAATCACGTTAGCATATTTCTTACCGAGATTACTGTTCTAAAATATGTTATTGGGTTTAAAATAATCAATACTGAAACTTTCAGATTAAGTTTGTGAGTGAATTAAACATGATCAATTGCTTTCATTGGCTTATTTTCTCAATGCCCTGAGTTCAACATAAGAATCTACAGTGGGGAAAAAAAGTATTTAGTCAGCCACCAATTGTGCAAGTTCTCCCACTTAAAAAGATGAGAGAGGCCTGTAATTTTCATCATAGGTACACGTCAACTATGACAGACAGAAATTCCAGAAAATCACATTGTAGGATTTTTAATTAATTAATTTGCAAATTATGGTGGAAAATAAGTATTTGGTCAATAACAAAAGTTTCTCAATACTTTGCTATATACCCTTTGTTGGCAATGACACAGGTCAAACGTTTTCTGTAAATCTTCACAAGGTTTTCACACACTGTTGCTGGTATTTTGGCCCATTCCTCCATGCAGATCTCCTCTAGAGCAGTGATGTTTTGGGGCTGTCGCTGGGCAACACAGACTTTCAACTCCCTCCAAAGATTTTCTATGGGGTTGAGATCTGGAGACTGGCTAGGCCACTCCAGGACCTTGAAATGCTTCTTACGAAGCCACTCCTTCGTTGCCCGGGCGGTGTGTTTGGGATCATTGTCATGCTGAAAGACCCAGCCACGTTTCATCTTCAATGCCCTTGCTGATGGAAGGAGGTTTTCACTCAAAATCTCACGATACATGGCCCCATTCATTCTTTCCTTTACACGGATCAGTCGTGCTGGTCCCTTTGCAGAAAAACAGCCCCAAAGCATGATCTTTCCACCCCCATGCTTCACAGTAGGTATGGTGTTCTTTGGATGCAACTCAGCATTCTTTGTCCTCCAAACACGACGAGTTGATTTTTTACCAAAAAGTAATATTTTGGTTTCATCTGACCATATGACATTCTCCCAATCCTCTTCTGGATCATCCAAATGCACTCTAGCAAACTTCAGATGGGCCTGGACATGTACTGGCTTAAGCAGGGGGACACGTCTTGCACTGCAGGATTTGAGTCCCTGGCGGCGTAGTGTGTTACTGATGGTAGGCTTTGTTACTTTGGTCCCAGCTCTCTGCAGGTCATTCACTAGGTCCCCCCGTGTGGTTCTGGGATTTTTGCTCACCGTTCTTGTGATCATTTTGACCCCATGGGGTGAGATCTTGCGTGGAGCCCCAGATCGAGGGAGATTATCAGTGGTCTTGTATGTCTTCCATTTCCTAATAATTGCTCCCACAGTTGATTTCTTCAAACCAAGCTGCTTACCTATTGCAGATTCAGTCTTCCCAGCCTGGTGCAGGTCTACAATTTTGTTTCTGGTGTCCTTTGACAGTTTTTTGGTCTTGGCCATAGTGGAGTTTGGAGTGTGACTGTTAGAGGTTGTGGACAGGTGTCTTTTATACTGATAACAAGTTCAAACAGGTGCCATTAATACAGGTAACGAGTGGAGGACAGAGGAGCCTCTTAAAGAAGAAGTTACAGGTCTGTGAGAGCCAGAAATCTTGCTTGTTTGTAGGTGACCAAATACTTATTTTCCACCATCATTTGCAAATAAATTCATTAAAAATCCTACAATGTGATTTTCTGGATTTTTTTTTCTAAATTTGTCTGTCATAGTTGACGTGTACCTATGATGAAAATTACAGGCCTCTCTCATCTTTTTAAGTGGGAGAACTTGCACAATTGGTGGCTGACTAAATACTTTTTTCCCCCACTGTAGCTATCTTGGAATTAAGAACATTTCCAAGAAGAAATCCAACAACTTTATTTTCAAAAATCGAATTTCTTCTTAACTTTTTGCTTAAGGAGAAACATAAGAAATAAAGTAAGAACATTTCCAATAACTTTTTGAAGAATAGCAACTTTGCTTAACTTTCTTCATAAATCTATAGTTAAGGGGAAAAAATGGCAGTTAAGACATTTCTTCTTAAGAAGGTTTTGTGAATCTGGGCCCTGGACCCCACAGGTCCAGAGCTTAGCCCGGCATCTGAAGCTTACTGGCTCTCACCACCATGCCCCTGGCATAACAACTAAGGCAGGCCTGATCAGCCCCACATTTAAAGCTCTTTAAACACAAACAAATATGTGACAGCTGAGGGATGACACCTATCTAGGGCTCACAGCATGGAATCGGCAGTATGTGTGTGTGTGTGTGTGCTTGCTTGTGAGTATCTTGACGCAGACAGAGACGCAGACAGCCAGGTCACGCCCTATAACCTGCGTGCAAACAAGATCACCGTCTGGACTCTACAAACAGTAAAACTAACCATAGCAGAGTCATGTGTTTATAGAGTTGGGACAACTTTTAGAATGTTGAATATTGTTCTAATTCTAGACATTCAGTTACATAGCATTATTTGTTAACGGGGCACTAACATGGCTGCCATAGAATGGTGTAGTGTCATGTAAATAAATCATAATGCAGAAACCGCATTGGACCAACTCTGGTCTATAGATATCAGTAGCTAGGTGACCATAGATGATATAGGCAGGGGAGCGCATCAGTCAAACACAGAATATTAAACACTTCAGATAGAACTGACTGAGTGATCCATGAGGCTAGAAGTGGCCTGAAAGAGGCTTACTCCTGGCTTATCTATCCTAGCCCTTCATCCCCTCTCTCTCTCTCTCTCTCTCTCCCTCCCTCCCTCCCTCCCTCCCTCCCTCTCTCTCTCCCTCTCTCCCTCCCTCCCTCCCTCCCTCTCTCCCTCTCTCCCTCCCTCCCTCCCTCCCTCCCTCCCTCCCTCCCTCCCTCCCTCCCTCCCTCCCTCCCTCTCTCCCTCTCTCCCTCTCTCCCTCCCTCCCTCTCTCCCTCCCTCCCTCCCTCCCTCCCTCCCTCCCTCCCTCCCTCTCTCCCTCCCTCCCTCCCTCCCTCCCTCCCTCTCTCCCTCCCTCCCTCCCTCCCTCTCTCCCTCTCTCCCTCCCTCCCTCCCTCCCTCTCTCCCTCTCTCCCTCCCTCCCTCCCTCCCTCTCTCCCTCCCTCCCTCCCTCTCTCCCTCCCTCTCTCCCTCCCTCTCTCCCTCCCTCCCTCCCTCCCTCCCTCCCTCCTGTGTTTTTTTTTGTGGCTTTCACACGCAAGTCAAATGTACAAAAACAACAAAGACATCTCAAATAAAAGTAATTTTAAAAGTCAAGTCAATTGCAGGATTCACACTATGGGCCTTTTGTATTCGTTAATTAGTTCCATTGCCATTGCAGTTAACAAGACTTGTCTGCAATATTTGACGACATTAAAGCTTACCGAAGATGACAGGTGCCTTTTCAATATGGAGCACCTTGTTCAGGTAGGTAGATCCTCAGCTCGTTTTATTCTCCTGTTATTCACCGTGTTTTCTGAGGTTCAACTCAACACCGTCTCTCTCTCCTTCAACGATCTGTCTCTCTTCCTTCTCTTCCGTCGCCAGTGTCTTCCTTCTCTCCCTTGAACATGCCTGATGCTCGACCGCACGTTAATCCCACAAGATTAGAGAGAGAGAGAGAGAGAGAGAGAGATTGAGAGACAGAGAGAGAGAGAGAGAGAGAGAGAGAGAGAGAGAGAGAGAGAGAGAGAGAGAGATAGAGAGCAGTAAGCTCCTCTTCTAACCATTTAAATCTCTAGGAGACACGATATAAGTAAATGAACAGGTCCAATCAAGATCCAGGTTATTAGCCTTACTGCAAATTAGGCCCTCTGCTGTTGCTTCATTTTACAGCTAGAGGGCTCCAGTCACAACACAAAAAAAGTTGTAAAAATATATTTAGCCAGTTGTGCTATACATTTTCTAGATAAAAGGATAAGTAGCATATTGTTTTTAAACAGGTGCATGCTTTTCTCCTCCGACAATACAACAGCTGATTCAAAAACGGGGACTCGGGTAGAACACTCATTATAACACTCTCTTATATTATTTTTATTATCTCTCATGCTTCCTTCCTCAGCTGAAATAGGCTATTGAGAAGGGGAGGATACTCTTCTGTTTGTCTACTAACTAATTGACACTCTCCTCGAACACTCGACTACTCATCGAAGAAGTCACGCGCTGACTGACAGATTGACTTCAATAGAGATCATGTCCAAATCGACCAGAATAGTATAGTGACATCAGAGAGAGGGGGGAGGGGAGAACCAGAAAAAAAGAGAGGGTGGGAGAGAGAGTTTGAGAGAGAATGAGCGAGAGAGAACCAGAAAAAGAGAGGGGAGGAGAGAGAGTTGAGAGAGAAGGAGAGAGAGAACCAGAAAGAGAGGGGGGGATGAAGAGGAGATATAGAGGAAAGAGAGAGAGAGTAGAAGAGAGAGAGAGAGAGAAAAAAAAGAAGATGGAGAGAGAGAGGAGAAAGAAGAAGACGAAAGATTTACCTGTCTTAAAGCCACTTTTCATCCCAGCGCCTTTTTTTTTCGTATATAAAGAGAGTCTCTTGGCAGCGTGGCCAAACTGTGCTGCTATTTCTGCCATGTCTATCAACGCCCTGTGTCGAAAACATGTTCACTTCTCAGCCAAATTATTTTTGTTGTAATCCTACGGATGTGAATTCACCAATGAGGATTCAGCTTTGGAGCGTGCCCAAAACAAATGTGCATGTATTACTGATGTCTTCGGTTATCAGCTTCAATGATGGTCAGATAGAGAAAAACAAACAGATGTTCATTGTTTACAGCAAATTATTCTTTGAGTATCCTAACGGATCTTGGACAGTCACCAATTGAAAAGCCAGCTTGTGCCATGATCAAACCCAGTAACTCTCTTAAAATTGTTTATTATAACTATAGATGTTCTTCTGGGTGTTTTTATGAGAGTTTGCAATGATAATGGTCATTGGTAACATATGAATAAAAACAGCTAAACAGATATTTCATTTCAGTGCTGGCTGAAGACACCACGGTTATTCTTCACAAGGTATACAGGATCTTATGGAGAGCAGAATTGAACACAAGCCAGGCTTGTGACCTGGATCAAAACGTGTGGGCCTTTAGTCAAGGCTCCAGCGAGAATTGAACTCGCGACCCCTGGTTTACAAGACCAGTGCTCTAACCACTGAGCTATGGAGCCTTACCTGCTCATGCTGTGAGACGATCTGTGATTTACATATCACATCTAGCCAATTCACAGACAGACAGAAGGCCACACCTCATGCCACTCACTCTACAAATAGTCTGGGTAGCCATGATTAGCTGATCAGGAGTCTTATGGCTTGGGGGTAGAAGCTGTTAAGAAGCCTTTTGGACCTAGACTTGGCGCTCCGGTACCGCCTGCCGTGCGGTAGCAGAGAGAACAGTCCATGACTTGGGTGACTGGAGTCTTTGACAATTTTTAGGGCCTTCCTCTGACACCGCCTGTTATAGAGGTCCTGGATGGCAGGAAGCTTGGCCCCAGTGATGTACTGGGCCGTACGCACTACCCTCTGTAGTGCCTTGCGGTCGGAGGCCGACCAGTTGCCATACCAGGCGGTGATGCAACCAGTCAGGATGCTCTTGATGGTGCAGCTGTATAACCTTTTGAGGATCTGAGGACCCATGCCAAATCTTTTCAGTCTCCTGAGGGGGAATAGGCTTTGTTGTGCCCTCTTCACGACTTTCTAGGTGTGTTTGGACCATGATAGATTTGTTGGTGATGTGGACACCAAGGAACTTGAAGCTCTCAACCTGTTCCGCTACAGCCCCGTCGATGAGAACGAGGGCGTGCTCAGTACCAAATGCGGTACCAAACGTTCCTCTACAGTAACATTCTACATTTGGATTAATTTGGTGCCTTTTTGGCAGGAAGCCTAGCAGTTAGAGCGTTGCGTCTGTAATCAAAAGGTTGCGGGTTCGAATACCCGAGCCGAGAAGGTGAAAAATCTGTCTTTGTGCCTTTGAGCAAGGCACTTAAGCCTAATTTGCTCCAGGGATTGCCGTACTACTACGGCTGACCCTGTAAAACAACGCATTTCACTGCACCTATGTGACAATAAAAACAATTTGATTGTACACTAAATCTCAATCTGCCAAACTCACACACAGAGACATGGTATAGGGCAGGGAAACGAATAGAGCTTAATAGGGGGATAATGTAAAACACAAGAAACCAGTTGAATCTCACATCTAATGAAGAAAGGAATGAGTCCTGTTCTGGTCCTCAGGGGCTAAAGAGCGTATGTCCGAATTTTAATTTTTCATAGCAGGTTATAACTTATGCAGCAGGTTAGGAGAATTAGCGTAGCACGTTAGAAGTATAAGGGATGTAGCTCAGTTGGTAGAGCAACGCCAGGGTTGTGGGTTCGATTCCCATGCGGGGCCAGTATTAAAAAAATAAAAAAATAATGTAATAAAATTAGGTCGTGGTTAGCTAAAATGCAAACATTTTCAACTTCTGACATCAATTCGACATAAGCCGTATCCCATCTAGACCCTCAAGAGAAAGGAGCTGTCCCCATTGCTCACGTTTTAATAGTCACAAATGTATTAACACACCCGTCTGCAATTCTATCGTGTTGTTTAGTCCAGAGGGGTAATACTACAAAGCAGGATCAATGAGTTGAAGGTGCTGCACGGCCATTTACAGCGATGCGGCCTCTGTAGAAATCAGGGCATTCGTACTTCTTGCGCTTCGCCGAGCAGCGCAGAGCTGTTGTGTAAAGAAGTTGGGAAGGAAGTGAGTTTGTGTTTATACAGGACCTCCCGCCCCCACCTACCGTCAAACAACCATGTCAATGCGGAGCTATATGGAGCTCTCCGCATTGTTACAAAATTTGGGAGGCGATCAGTGATGCGGTACAGAGCTCAATTTGGCCTCTGCGTGCCTCACACCCTCCATACGGAGTCTCCGACCACATTTTCGAATCAAGCATTAATTGTCTCTTAGCCAGTTAACTTCGATAAACAACCAGAAATAAGTTGATTTTACATTTCACAAAGTTATTCCTTATTCCTCTGTAAAAAAATTTATCCAAGCTGGGACTTCTGTCTGCCATTAATTCAGAAGGGTTTATTCTTTGTTGATTTTTCGCTACGTCGTAAGGTGTTATCAGATAGCCTCCCCGGTGAAACATACATCGATGCTACCTTAAAAATGAACCAAATGAAGGCACCGTAAAACGCAGCATTTTAAGTTGAACTGGGACTGGGACTCGCCAGTTTTGACATCTTGCCTTGACATGCTGGCTTTCCTTGGGACACAGATGTCTGACTTCTTTTTTTCGCTTTTGGAGCACATCCTTCTCTGTCGATGGTCTACATTAAGTCTTGTCTATTGAAATGACTGACAATACTGTCAGCCAATCAGATGTCTAGCTTGTCTCGATTAGCTAAAAGCCACTAAAAGCCACCAATGGGGATGCGCGATTGTCTCGATTACCTTGATCCAACCACCGTAGCACGTTTGACCTGTGGTCCAATCATATTCGCCCTTTGACTTTAGCCCCGGCCCCAACTCAAATGTAAAAAAAAAAAAGACACTTTCCCCGCATTGGATCATAGCAAAGATGTTCTATCTGTGATCATAGTTTACATCACACAGAGTTATTCTTTTTTATTGTTTCACTTTATTTTTATTTTATATATATACACACTACCGGTCAAAAGTTTTAGAACACCTACTCATTCAAGGGTTTTTCTTTATTTTTTACTATTTTCTACATTGTAGAATAATAGTGAAGACATCAAAACTATGAAATAACACATATGGAATCATGTAGTAACCAAAAAGTGTTAAACAAATCAAAATATATTTTATATTTGAGATTCTTCAAATAGCCACCCTTTGCCTTGATGACAGCTTTGCACTCTCTTGGCATTCTCTCAACCAGCTTCATGAGGTAGTCACCTGGAATGCATTTCAATTAACAGGTGTGCCTTCTTAAAAGTTAATTTGTGGAGTTCCTTTCCTTCTTAATGCATTTGAGCCAATCAGTTGTGTTGTGAAAAGGTAGGGGGGATATACAGAAGATAGCCCTATTTGGTAAAAGACCAAGTCCATTTTATGGCAAGAACAGCTCAAATAAGCAAAGAGAAACAACAGTCCATCATTACTTTAAGACATGAAGGTCAGTCAATACAGAACATTGAAAGTTTCTTCAAGTGCAGTCGCAAAAACCATCAAGCACTATGATGAAACTGGCTCTCATGAGGACCGCCACAGGAATGGAAGACCCAGAGTTACCTCTGCTGCAGAGGATAGGTTCATTAGAGTTACCAGCCTCAGAAATTGCAGCCCAAATAAATGCTTCACAGAGTTCAAGTAACAGACACATCTCAACATCAACTGTTCAGAGGAGACTGTGTGAATCAGGCCTTCATGGTCGAATTGCTGCAAAGAAACCCCTACTAAAGCACACCAATAAGAAGAAGAGACTTGTTTGGGCCAAGAAATACGAGCAATGGACATTGGACTTGTGGAAATATGTCCAAATTTGAGATTTTTGGTTCCAACCGCCGTGTCTTTGTGAGACGCAGTGTGGGTGAACGGATGATCTCCGCATGT